AAACTCTCTTTGCCTATGAAATTTCTAATTTCAAGGAATTTCCAAAAGTTCTTGAAAATTTCAGTAGCTTTTTAAATTCATTTTCATGTTCATTTTTAATTGAGGAGTTAAACTGATAAAATACTGATAAGTCACTCTATATCAAACACAACAATTCACTCTATATCAAACTCTATATCACTCTATATCAAACACAAACAATTCAAAATTAATTAAATTAACTAGTATTAAATGCGTCCTTATGATATTAAGAGTAAGGACAGAGATTCTCAGTTTTGCACCTTACGTAATTTTATGTTTACATTGCTAGACCTGTTTATCCTGACTGTAGTGCAAAACTTGCATTGCCTTTTTTTTTTTTTAATTTTTAAGATTTTATCTGTTTATTCATGAGAAACACAGAGAGAGGCAGAGACATAGGCAGAGGGAGAAGCAGGCTCCCTATTGGGAGCCTGATGCGAGACTCAATCCCAGGACCCCTGGATGATGACCTGAGCCAAGGATGGATGCTCAACCACTGAGCCACCCAGGCGCCCCTGCATTGCTTTTATAATAGGGCTTATTTAGTCACTTTTAAAGCTTTCATTTAAATTTGGGATTAAGTATACTTTTCCAGTTGACCACACAACAGTAAAACTAACAAACACATGAATTTTAGGTTATGCCACAAAGGCAAACCTCAGTAAATTCCAGAAAAGCTGAAACTTTTTGCATCCATTTTCTCCCTACAACAGAAGTTTAAAATGCACTACTCCAACCACTTGGAAAAATCAAACAGAAACTGTTCTTAAATAATATGGAGTCAAAGAGAAGATCAAATATACAGTAACTGATTATTAAGCTAACAGAAATGAGACTTAGGCTAAGACTAATACCATGCTTAGAAGTAAATTGATTAAAAAAATAAATGAACTCAACTGTAGAATTTAATATAACAAAACCAATAAAATAAATGCCTAGGAGAAAGGAAAGATGTAAATAAGATAAAAGCAGAAACAGATACATTAAAAAAGAAACTAAATAATTGAAAAAATCTAAGAGCCGTTTCTTAGGATTAAAACACAAATAAACCTAATCTTATCAAGGAAAAGATAGAAAACCAAAGTATGAAAGAATAAAGGGAATGTGTATAGATAAGAGATTTTTAAGTATATATAGAAAAGAGACAGCTTTATTTAACTATAAGGCAGTTGATTTGAAATTTCTTTGAAATGAATTGTTAAACACTCAAACTGCTTTAAGGAGAAAATCTGGGTAAACCAAGAACTACGGAAGAAAGTTTAAGGAATTTTCTCCAAAAATTGGTTCTGGAGCCAGATCGTTTTGCCAGTGAGTTTTTTCTAACTTTCAAGGAACATATAATTCCTATGGTGAGAAACTGTTCTAGAGATTATAAAAAGATGGAAATATGCCCAACTAATGTTATGAAATCTGTATGAATATCTTAACAATGGTTACTTATGAGAGTGAGATTCTTTTGGGGAGTTACTGTTTTAGTTTCTATTGCATGCAAAGATTTTTATTGAAATTAAGAGAATTGTGAAAAAAACCCTAGAAATTAAAAACATAGACAAAGATGACTTTTGTATCTGTTATTATAGTTACTATTACTGATGCTTTTTATTCCTTTGTGAGGATCCAAGTTTTGACATAATATTCTTTCCCTTTTGCCTAGAGAGCATTTCTTTAAGTGCATTGCATCTTACAATGGATGTTTCTCAACCTTTGTCTAAAAACATTTCTACATTCATTTTGAAATATATTTTAACCAGATAATAGGATTTTAGGTTGACAGTATCTTTCATTATTTAGTAGTCACTCCATTGACTTCTCAGTTTCATAGGTTCTGATGTGAAGTCTGTTTTTCTGTACGTAATGGGTCTTATTCTCCGCATCTAGCAGGTTTTTCCATTTTTTTCTTTTTAAAAAAATATTCATTTATTAGAGAGAGAGCATAGAGAGAGAGTGAGAAGGAGAAGCAGACTCCCAGCTGAGCAGGGAGCCCAATGTGGGGCTCAGTTTCAGGACCTTGGGATCATGCCCTGAGCCGAAGGCAGATGCTTAACTGACAGAGCCACCCAGACATCCCTCCCTCCATTTTTTCTTAATCACTGGTTTTCAACAGTTTGATTATGATATTTCTAAGTGTGGTTTGCTTTGTTTTTCCTTCTTGGATTTTGTTGAGCCTCATGGCTTATGGTTTGAAAAAAATATTGTCCATTATATTTCCAAATATTTTTTCTGTCACCCTCTTCCCTCTAGTTTTTGGACCCCAATTACATGTATATTAAATTGTATATTGCTATATATCATTGGTGTTTTGTTTTTCTTTTCTTCAGTACTTTTTTTCTTTGTGCTTCATCTGGATCTTTTTCTCTTGCTATGTTTTCAAGTTAAGTGTCGAATCTACTGTAATCCCATCCAGTGTATTTTTCATTTCAGATACTCTATTTTTCATTTCTAGAATTTCCATTTCGACCTTAAAAAAATCTTACACTTATCCCTCAACACTTCCATGTGTTTCTCTACCTTCTTGAGCATATTGAGCGTATTTATAGTAGCTCTTTTAACATCTTTGTCTGCCAAGTTCTGTGTCTCTGTCAGTTCTGCATCTGTTTCTATTGATTTGTCATTCTCCTGGTTATAGGTCATATTTCCCTTTTAATTTATATGCCTGCTAAATTTTCTTTGGATGTCAGACATTGTGAATTTTTTGTTGTTGGGTGCTGGATTTTGTTGTATTCCTTTCAATGATGTTAGTCTAATTTTGGCATGCAGTTGAATTTTTTGAAATCTCTGATGCTTTTTTGAGACTTGCTTTGTTTTGAGGAAGCTTTGTTAGGGTAGGTCCAGAGCAGTCTGTTTTCTTAGAGCTGATTTAGAGTTGATATCTTCTGAGGATTTTACTTAATATTTCATGTATTATGAAGTGTTTTCACCCTACTTAATGAGAAGACAAACTATTCCTAATCTTGTATGAGTTTTAGGACTTCTTTGGCCCGTTTATTTTTCAGTGGTTCTTTCTCCAACCTTAGGTAGTTTCCTCTCATACATGACAGATCACTTCCTGACAAAGCCTGAAGGGAACACCTCTGCAGATCTCTAGAGCTCTGTCTGTGTAGTTCCCTTTTCTTTGATTTGCTTTTCCAAAATTCTGGCTTGTTGGCCTCCCTGAACCTCAGGCTCTGTCTCTGTCTCCTCAACTCTCTGAGATTTCCAGGCACATTGAAGTCCTCACTCTCTATGCTGCATCCTAGAAACTGCTTCAAAGGTGTGTGAGATGGGCCAATGATAGGACTCACCTCATTTTCCTCTCCCACTTTCTCAGGAATCCCTCTCCTGCTTTGTTGTACAATATCTGAAAATTATTGTTTTATTAATCTATTTTATCCAGTTTCTTGGTTGTATAAGGCAGGAGGATTAATTGGATTTCTGTTACTCCATCATGGCTATTTGTGGAAATACTTGATGGATTGTTTTTTTTTCTCCTTTTCTGTGGGTTAAGATGTGGGTCTAAGTATAAAAGAAGCCAAGATACCAGTTGGCTTATTCTCAGTGTCTCAAATGTTAGGCTAACCTGTAACTGAGGTGGAGGGGTCCGTGGATGCTTGTCCAAACCCTTTAATAAACAGGCAATTTTGCCTGGTACATCCTTTCTTATTTCACTCTGGCACCTTTTGCGGTGGTAGGGTGGCTGATCAAGAATTATGGTATTCTATAATGATGTTCAGTATGCTCTGTATGTTGGCTAATTGAATTTAAATTAAAAAATTTAAAAATTATGGTATTCTGAATCTTATTCAGATATCACATAGTTTTAATAAGTTCTTAATACTCTTTCTTTAAGCTGAATTAAGACCCATTTCTATTTATTTTTTCTCAGCTATTTGGTATTGCTCACCTTTAATTTTATCAGATTAGATTTTTTGGTTGCTAATAGCTAGTTATATAACTGGTTGTCATTTTTTCATTTGGATTGTATTTACTTCATTCATCATGTATTTTCCCACATCACAGTAACCTTTAGGAACTTGACAGGGTTTGATCTTTTATGCATTATATCTTTAGTTTTTTTCCTGCTTCTCTGTTCTTACCATTCTTTGCTCAGAAATGAATGAACAAATAACCGAATAGATGTAGACAAATCTATGTATGCATATATATACACAGTGCATATTTTCCATTCTATTAACTGTGATATATACTATTGATTTAATATATTTTCAAGAAAAAAGAAACATTAAATTTAAGGTTCTTAGACATTAGCTGACAGAAGCATATATTTATACATATAATTTTTATACCATCTTCTTTGGAATCATAAAGTCTAATCCTTTTTCAAAGTCTGACATGCTGGGACACCTGGGTAGCTCAGTCAGCCGTTGGGGGGCGTCTGCCTTCAGCTCAGGTCATGATCCTGTGGTCCCGGGATCGAGTCCCAAATTGGGCTCCCTGTGAGGAGCCTGCTTCTCCCTTTGCCTATGTCTCTGCCTCTCTCTGTGTGTCAATCATGAATAAATAAATAAAATCTTTTAAAAAACCAACAAAGTGTGACATGCTGATTTTCCTCACCTGTGCTTGCATTTTTTTCTTTACACATTATGATGGTATAGTTTTGAGTTATATGAGAAATGTTTGAATTTAACTGCTTTTCTTTTTTTGGCTGAACTCATCGTTTCAATTTTTCTACAGATAAACTGTGAATTAAATAATTCCCTTTTTTTTGAGACACCTGGAAACTTTTGACAGATTGATAGCTAGCAGTTGGGTGTTAGTACCTTGTAAAATGTAAATTGGTCACACCAGTGTCTCTCTTCCAACTCTGATAACTCTGTGGTCTATTTTGAGAGATTGGGCAATTTCTACTGGCTTTAATTGCCCTTGCTTGTCTTGCAGTGGACAACTTTTATACCACAATAGCTGTTTATTACAGAGCTTCATCATAATTCATATGAATATTTTCATCTTAAAATCTTTTCTTTCTTTTTTTTTTTTTTAAGATTTTATTTATTCATGAGAGAGATAAAGAGTCGGAGACATAGGCAGAGGGAGAAGCAGGCTCCCTGCAGGAGCCCTGGGATCACGCCCTGAGCCAAAGGACAGATGTTCAACCACTGAGCCATCGAGGTGCCTCTTTCTGAAAATATTTTCTGGCAACAGTTAGGCTTTCAGATTTAACTTGAAATTCAACTGCATATGAGTTAAACTATGCAGTTAATAACTCAGCTATGGTCATAGTTGGATAAACAGCTATCTTCTCAGAAAAGGTATAGATTTACACATTGGTACAACTTACTCTTTTGCTTGGCTAATGGTAGGTTTTTGGACATTAATTCTGATATTTCTCCTAGTTTCAGAAACTTTAAAATATTTTTTAAGAAAAATAAATATCTTTAGAATTGAAGAAATATGATTTAGGAATTTAATATACAGTGAGGAAGCTTAAAGTCTGTCATGTAATATAATTATTTAATAAGTTTTGAGATGATCAAATAGCAGCTATAAAAATTAGTATTGAACCTATCTGTATGCAAATATATGGTTAACTTTTTAAAACTGAAAAGCTAGTAAAACTGTTCAAAGAATAAAAAGGCTAAAAAATTGACCATAAAAAGTTAAGCACATCTATATGAAGAAAAGTAATATAAAATTAAAAATAAAAATAACAAAATGGAAAATATTTACAAATATGCCCTTAAAGATTATCCGACATTACTGTGAATATTTGAAAAATATTTACAATGCTAAGATTGAGTGAATTTGTTAGTAAAGTAATGCCCATTAGATCCTAATGGGACATTGAGTAAACAAACATAAGGAGAACTGGGAATTCAGACAGTAGTGAATAACCTTTCATACTTACTAAGTATAAGAAAGTAGTCCACAGGCAATCCAGTGCTTATGCATTGCTTTTGAAGTTAGTACAGTTCATATAGAGGAAAGTATGGTAGTATATATTGTAAAAACCATAACCTATCTGTGATTGATAAAGTAATTCTCCTCTTGGGAATTAACCCTGAGTAAATAATTGATGGACTAAAAGACCTGTAATTAGAGCTATATTCAGAAAATATTACTTATTATAGTAAAAACTGAGGACAATCTAATTGGTTAACAGTGGGAAATTTGATGTATTATCAGTTAATATCCAAATATTTCATATCCCCTATGTATAAGCGTAAGTACCATGACAGCAGGGACTGTATTATTTTTGTTCTCTACTGTAACACCATCGCCTAGAATAGCTTCGCTTATAATGAGTCCTGAACAATTATTATTATTGAAATGAACAAATCAGTGGAATAATGTTAAAATGAAATATACACACATGGAACCTGTTGGTAAGTACCTTGTGAGGAAGGGATATTGGGAACAAGTTGGCTGATAAGGAATTTTTAGAAGTTTGCACTGGATTGTGAAAGTTCAGTGAGATACGAATTTCTTGAGAGCCAGGAGTTGGGAAAGGCACTCCAGGAAAAGGGTCAGCGTGAGGAAAGGCCTGCCAGTAGCAATTGACTGCAGGATAAGGTAGGAGATGAGGCATAGGTGGAGGCCATGTTATAAGTGGACTTTGTAAGGAAATCAAGCTCACTAGGTGAGACTTTAATCTGAGTATGGGAAGTCACTGATGATTTTTCAACAGAAGTTGACATTGGAAGAGTTATTTAATTCAAGAAGTTTAATCTGGCATTAGTATCCTGAACAAGTTTAGGCAGGGAGAGAAGTTTGAACTCTGTTGGAAAGGGAGTAGAACTTCATGTGAGAAGTCCAGTTACAGTAATTGTAAAGCTGTTTTGTTTTTCATCTTGAACTATGGCTAGGAATGATTGTTCCTTTGTGCTAATGTTATTTTTATTAATTTTAAGAGTTAAACTTGGTTATGTAAAAGGACAGTGTCATTAGAAGAATAAATAAAAATTTAAATATACAGGAAAGATTTTACTGAATTCTTAAAGTTTAAAATGATTCTAGAAATGTTCAGGGTAAAATAAAACTATCTTAGGAAGCCTCCATTGAACCATGCCACACAGATATGTAATTCTTTCAGCTTTACTTTCATTTTTGTAAATCTTTCCTTTTATACTGTGGAAGAAAACTATGTCAGCTATCATTGTTCTGTCAAAAATATTGCTAGAATTTCTTTAAAATTATAATCTTCTAGTGAAGGATCAGACTTTTAAAAATTATGAATTGAAGGCCTAGTTTGCTATCTGGGACTTTATGGAAAAAGTAGACCACCCCACCACCCCTGCAGTTTTTATATTAGTGATACTGGGGTAGTGAAAGTTGACATTTATGAAGCAGTTCATTGTGCTGAATTAGAGTCATGCAACTTGTTTGGAATAAACTAAAAAGAGATCTTTAAAGAAAAACCAATGTGTTGCCAATTGTTGTCCAAGACTAAAATCTGCATTGTTTACAAAATAGCAAAACGTCATAAATTACATTATCTTAGAAAAACGTGGAGGTTCTTTTTAAAAAGTAGCAAGCATTTTAACTAGCACTTGGCCAGTATTTTTGAGCATTAATGTTTAACACTCAGAATTAAAAATTTAAATAAATGCTTTTAGATGAGCAAATAATGAGTTTTTAATTGAATTGACACTTCAGTTGAATTGGTTGAGGAGTGGGCTAGAAGAATATATCCAAGTGCCTAACTAAATCATTTTATATTTTCAGGGTTAGAGGTTGAGTTGGAAAAGGGCTTTGCTGAGTAGGTGATTTTTTTTTTTTTAAGATTTATTTATTCAGAGAGAGAGAGAGAGAGGCAGAGACACACAGGCAGAGGGAGGAGCAGGCTCCTTTCAGGAAGCCCAACGTGGGACTTGATCCCGGGTCTCCAGGACCACACCCCGGGCTGCAGGCGGCGCTAGTCCGCTGTGCCACGGGGGACTGCCCATAGGTGATGTTTTACCTGAATCTTAAGATTATTTATTGAGTATGTATGGTCTGCTCTACATGTCAGATATTGGGCTTTTTACATATGCATAATATATGGTTCGTTCTTCAACGGACTAATAGTTTTTTATAAACTAACACATATTGAGATAAGGGTAATAATGATGTGCCATGGGAACAGAGAGATTAATTTGGAGAAAGGGACAGGAGGAGAGGGGAGTTAGAGCTTTGCAGAGAAGATGGCATGAGCTGGTACTTGAATGATGGTTAGACCCACACACCCTGGAGCAAAGGAAGAGGTATGTTCTTAGATAGGATGTGCAGCATGAAGGGATGTATGAGAGTTTTCTTTCTTTCTTCTCACTAAATATAAATAAGCATTTTGATCTTTTTAATTGGTGGTTGTAGAAAAAAGCTCTGTTAATGTGTCAAACCATTTCTCATTGAATTCATCTGGGATACCTTTATTAAAGTAAAAATTGTCTGAACTGCAAAGTTATAAAGCTACATTTTGGAAGAATGGAAGTGTTCTAAATCTTGATTGTGGTAGTTCTTTTGTTAAAATTCATTCCCCTGTCCATCTAAATTAGACATGTTTTATTGCATATAGATTTTATTTCAATAATGTTGATTTAAAAATTGCCTGTGAAATCACATTTTTTTTCCAAATTTGTACCTATTATTTAAAAACTGCATTTTTGAAGAAGAGATTTTCAGCTCTCCATTGTCAAACTAAATGTTCAACCCAAGAAACAAGCATATGAATCATATAGCATTGAGCAGAATAAAAGCCTGTGCTTTTGTGGAACTCATATTTTAATGGAAGAAGGAGACAGATAATAAAGAAAACAAAGCATATAATTATTTCAGGTGATTAAGTGCTATGACAAAAGTTAAATAGGAGACTGGTAGGAAAGAGTTTTCTTATTTATTTATTTATTTATTAAAAAATATTTTTTTAATTTATTTATGATAGTCACACAGAGAGAGAGAGAGAGAGAGAGAGGAGCAGAGACATAGGCAGAGGGAGAAGCAGGCTCCACGAACCGGGAGCCTGATGTGGGATTCGATCCCGGGTCTCCAGGATCGCGCCCTGGGCCAAAGGCAGGCGCCAAACTGCTGCGCCACCCAGGGATCCCCTAGGAAAGAGTTTTCATTTTTAGGAAGAGGAACCAAATAAAACCAGAATTAGAAATCGGCTTTTTGGTTGTGTTCTTTAAATATGACGAACACTGAACTCTCTTAAGATTGGAACTAAGACTGAAAACCTGTGGAAATTGCATATGTAATTATAATATGTAATTGATTATACAATTAAAATGTAGAGTGTAAATGTTGAAACTTGAACACAATAAAATAAATTGAGCTGTGGGAGTTGAGTATAGGTTTCTCAATTTTTGTAGCAGAAATTCAGTAAATGCTATCTAAAATTCAAATGTGAGGGAGAGGCACAGTATCGGCCCTTGATAATATTTTTTTCTTAAGGCAAAGGAATCTTTCTGGCCTCTGTGTTTTCTGATGTCATTCTAACTCTTATGCAAATGTTGTTTTTCTCTGGCTGCTTCCAAGATTTTTTTCTTTGTGTTTAGTTTTCAGAAATGTGTCTGTTTGGATGGCTTTAGGTTTAACACGGTTTGCAGTTTGCTCACTTCTTGGATTTGTTAGTTCATGATTTTTACCACATTTGAAAAATTGTTGGTCATATATTTTCAAATAATTTTGCAGTGCACACTATTGCTCCTCTCCTAGGATTTCAATGACATGAATGTGAGATCTTCTATAGCTGTTCCACAGGTCCCTGATGCTTCATTTATTTATTTTTTTAACCTATTAACTTTCTGTTGTTCAGATTGGATAATTTCTGTTGATTGATCTTTAAGTCCACTGATTCTTTTGTTAGTCCATCCAGTGAGTTTAATATTGGCTGTTGTATTTTTCAGTTCTAAAATTTCCATTTTGTTCTTCTTTTTGTCTTCTATTTCTTTGCTAAAACTTTCTGTTTTTCCATTTATTTCAGTAATTGCTTATTGGTTCATTTTACTGAAAGCTCCTTTAAAAATCCTTGTTAGATAATTCAAACATCTTTGTCACCTCAGTTCTGGTGTCTTAGTTGTTTTTTCTCATTTAAGTTGAAGTTTTTCATATATTGCTTTATTTTTTTTTTCAGAATGAGTATAATTATTATAAAAACATTAGAATAAGAATAAAGAGGAAATAGAACCAGTCTT